ATAATTCTCACGACGTTTATTCATTCAGACTCTGTCTTATCGACAGACCTGTTCTTTGCCTGAGGACGGCTGCTTGCGTTGTGGCCGAAACGTCGTTAGAATGATTTTATAATGTTTTATTTTTATTATTTTATTATTTTCTTTCTAAGTGACTTTATCGAAAGAACCAAGAAGATGAATCCCTGCAGTCACGAAAGCTTTACATCGAAAAATAAGAATCGGTTTTACCATTCAAGGCAATAAAGCAGGTGTTAAGATGTCTGCATGAACCCCACGTATACTTGTGGCAAAACATGCAAATAAACATGCCCTGCTAATGTATGCATTGTCTTTGAAACTGATGGGCCTACACCAGAGACGGCCTTTGTGACAGCATCGACGGCCCCGTCTCACCAGTGTCAAACCAGAGAACGCCAAAAGGTGAATAGCACAAAGGCAATGCCCAACAGTATCAGAGCCATGTACAGCTCGCGTTGAGCAGTTATATCTATGGGACCTTTTTTTTACGAGTATCAAAGTATGAAAAATAAGAATAGGTTTAACCCTTTCTGTTATGTCATGTAGTAAAAAAATGCCAATATAGTATGTGTTGTGAGCTATTTTGTAAATATTTTGTCGGATTGATGGAATAATTCTCGCGAAATAATGACATTAACATCGGGGCACAAATTTCAAAGAGCGATTCTTCATGAACCGTGGTCAATCTTTTGTATGTATAACTCTCGCCTCTTCAGTTTCGCTATCTATTATAATCAATATTAAATGTCTTTCGAACTTAGTCTGCCGAACGTGTATTTGTTACGTGGAAAAAATCCCGCGTAGCCAGTTACCTCGTTAGTTTCGGTGGCAACTGCCCCAGCAGCCTCGACCAACAGAGTTACTATCTATGGGACATTTATGCCTGAATAAAAGTATAAAGCAATAACATCTTAATACCTATTTTATTGCCAAATAGGGTAAAATCCATTTTTATTCTTTAATAGAGTTACTGTTGGGGTGGTGGACAGGTGTCCAGCCAGCAGCCCGCCAGGATACACGCGGCATAGATTATGTGCCAGTCCGCTGCTGGATGAAGGCTTTCTCGTCAATCATGCGCGCTCGTATGACCATACGGTGAAGGTGCGGGTTGGTCAAGGTGCAGAGGAAGAGAGCAGGACCGGTTCTGATGTCACTCGCCACTGATGTTAGCCGTGGCCGGGAACCAAACACAAGTGACTGATCGTGATAAACTTTCGAACGCCGTTCTTTTCCAGGTCACATATATTCCCGTCTAGTACCCGATTCGTGCTGCTAAGATAGTGGCAGTGACAGATACTAACTACTATTTAATTTTTTATTTTACCAGGCAAGGCCCACTGAGAAATATATAGCTATTTTTCAGAAGCGACCTGGCCACAAATGAAAGCTCAACGAAGTGGCTTATCATGTGGAAATTTAGAGCAGCCACATACTCTAAACGAGTGTATCTACATATGGAGGGAAAAACTGGAGGGCCCGAAGGAAAACCCACGTGGCCACGGGAGAATGAGACAAGCAAATTCCAAATGTTCTGGCATCAGTTAGGATCGAACCCATGACCTCCCGTATACCAGGCAAGGTGGTTAACATCTCGCCGCCCGAGGAGATTTTGATTCTCAGGCATCGGCGCGCCGCCGCCAGCTGCCCGCGGTTTTGAGCCTTCAGCAATCATCAGGCGCGTGCAGCATGGAACTCTACTTAGTTTTGGGATGGAGAAGATGGAGAAGGCTGGCGGAGACGTTGTGGGTGGGTCGCGAGGACTCGAGATTGGGGAGAGACCCCCCCAGGCCGTACCCGCGGAGAGAGCCTCACTCGCCGCAGCCCCCCTAATCCTCTTTGCCGTCCAAATTCTGCGGCACAATGACGCGATTATGGTGGGGAAAACATTCTTCTCTCCGTGCTTGTGTAAGCGGCTCAAGCGCTGGCCAACGCTACGTCTCTCGCAAGGGGCAGTTGCAGTCTTTATTCTGTTGAGAAGAATTTCCACGTGACGGCAAACCATGTCACCGTGATTCTGATGCACTTGAAGTCAAATCTCTCTCTCTCTCTTCCATGCAGCATTTTGCAGAGCGACCTGCAAAATATTACAGCTGTGTGTTGAGATTGGCAATCGGTTCGACTGCATCACGAGTTGCCTGGTGTATGGCGTCTACGGCTTCTGGGTGAGCGTCTCATGAGCGGTGGTCGCTCATGTGATGGGCACATTGCACCTCGCCAAACCCCAACAGGGCGACCCTTCTATTGTGTATGTATGTTGATCTTCTTTCGCGCAATATGTAGCCAACTGTGATAAATATAATCGGAAGTGCCGGGGGAAGGACAACAAAAAGCAGTTCTGAAGAAATTAGGTTGAAATCTATATTTCAAAATGGATTGCTCCTGTGGCTTCCTAATATTGTCCGACTGTGAAGGAGACATTGGCCGTTCGTACCGTGCGCTGTTCAAATGCACCGCGGTGGCGAGGTGTAAACTACCTCGCCTAGTATACAGGAGGTCGTAGGTTCAATCCCAAGCCAGTCGCCCGCTGTATTTTTTGAGTTTGCGTGTTTCTCTCTCTCCCCATGGTGGCATGGATTTTTCTCCAGGTCCTGCAGTTTTTTCCCGAAATATGCGCGTTGAGTATTTGGCTGCTATAAATTTCCACGTGACAAGACACTTCGTTGAGTTATCATTTGAGGTCAGGCCGCTTCTGAAAAACAGCTATACAGCTCAGTGGGCCTTAGCTGGTAAAATAAAACATAGCTTAGCTTGGTTTAGGGCACGATCACGCGCCTCCCACTGTCGTCTATGTGCAGCCAGAAGGTCGCTCCTGATCGCATCGGATCTTTGATGAGCTCCTTCCGAGTACGCATATAACGGCCACGTTTCTACCAACGTCGCGCCCAGGTCAACGACTCGGACGAGACGTGGGGGGGGGGGACAGGCGGCGCTGATGTCATCCTTTTGCATCGCATGCAACACGTGACAGCAATGGGAGGCACCGCGTGGCGCAGTCACCTTCGCAGTGGTTCGTCGTTTTCTTCACTCCAATTCGGTCGCAGTCGCTGATCTTTTTTTACGTGCGGAATTTTGCTCTTGTCACGAACGACGCGTCCCTTCTGACACTCAGCAGTGACCGCGAGGCGTGGCTCGACTTCCACTTGACGGGTGACCCCCGCTGCCAGTCCATCATCTCCACCGTCGCCTTTTGATCTCTCCACCGCTGGATGGAGGCCTGCCCAAACCATCGCCATCCTCACGGCCGTGCGACACCGAGAACACACCAAGCTCCTCCAGAAGCAGGGAATGGACAGCGGCGTAGCTACCGAGTGTGCAGGCGGTGCAACTGCACAGGGAGCCCACGGGTCAGAGGGGCCCAGGTTTCGTTATATGATGATGATGCAGGTGCCAGACTATGCAGAAAACTGGAACACGGGAGTGTCATTTCATTTCTTGCACCAGCAAGGGCCCATGCCATCCTCACTGCACCACTGGGAATGGACACCGTGCCACTGAATGATACAGGAAACTCGTGCCCGCTTTTTTTGTTCTGGGAGCCTCTCTCGCTCCTGCTCGGATTGTGCTGCGGTCTTTGATTCAGCGTGCCTTTTTGCGGTGAAGAGCATGGAGGAGGCGGATTGTCTGGCTGGGTGCTGCGATCTGTCCAGCAGACAGCAGGGCTGAGCGCCGCCGTTCCATGCAGTCATAGCCGCCGCGCGTCTCTCAGCGCTCGGCCTACATCGTAAACACCCCGGGACTGCCTCCCTCTGCCTCTCCCCCGCATCCTCTCTCCGTCCCTTCCTCTACCGCGCACCCCCCACACTTACCCCCTCCACTCCCGGTCTCAACGTCCACGCTGGCTGAGAGAGGCTCGCTGGCTTTTATAAAGACTGCCCCGGTGTCCCGAGGATTTTGTAAAACTTTGTTCGGGTTAAGCATTTTCTGACCTCGGAGGCTGGGAATATAGCCAGTGGGGCATGGGAAGCCACTCATTGCGTGGATGGGTCTAGTGGTTGAGTGGGCGTTGCCTTGTCAAAGTGGGGGTGGTTGATGGGAGGGGGGCTAACCAGTTCGCCATGCGTCCCCGTTGAGCCTCCCAAGAAATGTGGTGGCCTTATTCTCTTCGCCACGTCCTCCCAATCCCCCCTCTCTTACCACATGTTACTGGCAGGTCCCCCCCCCCTCTCTCTCTTCATTAGCGGAGGATCTCGCATGTCCATACATCTCATTGATATGCGAAGTGATGTCATCTCGACATGCAAGGCATGCTGGGATTCCTGCTGTATTTTGTTGTTTAGACACCCGTTTATATAAGCCAGCATGTATTGTTTCTTCTGGTTGTTGAATCGTCTCTAGCTCAAGGTAATGCTGTACAAGTATTATATTGTGCCTCTAAGTCGGATAAAACTGGGGGCAGGGGGGAGTGGTGGCGCAATGGTTAGCACTTTGCACTATGATCCCGGTGACCTGAATGCCAAGTCCCGGCCAAGGCTATCATCGATGGCGAATGATACCTGAACCAGTTGGGGTTCTGTACTACACCAACCGGCAGTGACCCGCGTGGTGAAGTATGGTCAAACAAACTCTTTGCACAACCTCCACGGCGTGACAGGGGACCTTCATCCAGCAGTGGCTAGACAAAGGCCTGCACATTTGACGATACACCTACAGTGCACGGTCTCTCGCTCCGCCCACTAGCATGAAGGGAACATGTGAATAGTCAAGCATTCTTACACGCATGTGCTGTGAGCGTAACTGTATCGGCAACCGATGAATCGAGTAGTCGACGGGTCTGTCTCAACCCCCGTCGATTATAATATGATCCGACCGCAGGTAACATTTGCATAAGCGCGGTGAAGTATGGTCAAACAAAACCCAATGACAGAGGGTATCTCCGCTAAGCGCCTCTCAATTATTTCCATCTTAACTTTTTTGTTTGTAAGTAAAACCGAACCCAATGTTCCGCCTCGTCTTGACCTTGTGTTTTGTTTGTCGATGTGAAGGAGGTGGGGGCTGTGCCCCCCCCCGCCCCCCTACGGGACGACGAGCTGGGGGTGGTGGTGGGCACGCGGCGCGATGGAGACGGTGGTGGTGATCGCCATCAGCGTGCTGGCACTCGTGTTTCTCTCGTCGCTCGGGGCCCTTGTGCTGCTCTGCCGCCACCGCTACTGCCGCGCCGACCACATCCTCACGGAGCGCGATTCCCGGTGAGGGCCGCCTCGTGGGTCCCCTATGGCCCCCCGTGGACCACCCGTAGCCCCCCATGGGGCCCTCGTGGGCTGCCCTGCGGGCCCCTGGGATGGACACGGTCATTCCACTGGTTTTCCTGGTTTTTCAATTTTTTTTAAGCTTCATTTATTAGGTATAATCCTGTGAGCCATGCGGCTCTTGACTCAGGTGCAACCGCAACAAACAAAAACGTGAACAAGAAACATCTTAAAGTGACTACACGCAACAGAAAAATCCAGGAAAAAACAGCAAAGTCTCCCAGAAAACAACACCGTATATCAATGCTGTGTGCAAAAATCCCAGTGGGATGTGGGCCACGTGGTGAAACGGGCACGTGCGCGCATGTGTGTTCCGGCGGGCCACGCGACGTCTTGTCAGCTACTCCGTCACGGACTCATGTGGCGCGGTGATGGGGCCGTGAGTGGTGAGAAGGAGTAGGAACTAACGGCTCGTACTTGGCCTTCCGCAGGCCGACCCTTGACCTGATCGACGCCATGGAGACGCAGAGCAACCCCTCCGAGCTGGAGCTGGAGGGCGTCGTCATCACCAACCCCAACATCGAGTCCTTCCTGGAGGACGTGGCTTGGATCGAGGACGCCTCGTGAGTCACGGCCGCCCTCCCCCCCCGCCCTCAGTGTGCAGGGGCCATTCAAGTTTAAAGGCTGTTGTAGATCTTGGAGGGCCCTCTTCTTAAATTCACGCCCTTCCCTTCATTGTTTTACCACCGCCCATGCCCCCCAGTGCCCATCGCTCCTTCGTTATTCACCGTGGCGACTTCCGTTCGAGCGTTTAATTTTGCGACGCTCGGATTTAAAAGCTAAATCGCCGTCCCTTAACGTGCTCCGCTGACCTTAATAGGTGCTCGCTAATGGCACTGTCGCCAGCGGTCTATGTCCCACCTGAGTTAGAGAGCGCCCGATTGAAACGAAGGTGCGGACTTTTTTGTACGTGTGTGCACACGTGCGTCCCACGCTATGCAAACAGTGCCTTGCATTTGAATAGGCAGTCTCCGCTTTACATGGGGCTATTGTTTAGCAATCATCAGGCACGTGCAGTTTATATTTGAATGTCAAATTATGACACATTTGGTGCGTCGCGTCGCACAGAAACGCACAGCATGGAACAGCACTGTGGAGTTTGACAGATCACGATAATAACAACAACCAATTAAATGTTTAGTTTGATACAACGATCTTCATGCAAATTGCATCTCACAATCGCTAGATAGGAACCACAGACAGAGCTGGAAGGCTGCCAGGCGGTGAGCCGGCGCTACCAACAATTGTTCTGTAGTCCTCTATATACCAAAATGTTTTCGGCCAACGAGTGGTTATCACACACGTGGGAGGAAACCGGAGCACCCGTAGAATACCCAAGCACGCGAGGGCGCAATACTCTATCTCATACACGTCAGTCTGCGCTTTGCTGCACCGCATTCTGCTGGCGAGCCCGGGCACGGCACCTCTTCGACGGCCACGGGGCGGCAGGGAGTTCCGCAGCATCTCTGTGGTGTTCATAGCACAGCGCCTGTGCCAGGCCAGGTGTTAAACCACGAATCCACCAACCCTCGCTGCTGCTGCCTCCACAGCGCTCGGTCACAGGAAGCCACGTTTCAGCAGCGTAGCCACCACCGGCGCCGCCCGGCAGATGTTTGCGGTGTTCGTTATCAGGAGCACTTTGTGTATTCTAAACCCGATTTGTGTTTGTTTGTTTGTTTATTCCCTTCCAGGGGACTGATTCCACACTGCATCGAGATCCTGAAGGTTGGTGGATCTTGCACGGCTCACTGCGTAGCTCAGAAAGTAGCAGGATGGAATTTGACGATTTGCTCTCAGTTGGATGTGAGGGCTTGATGATGACCGCTTGTGTTGCGATCGAATCGTCGTGGTTTTTATTTTTATTATTTTTTATTAACTTTATTATTCTTCTTGGTTCTTTCTGTAAAGTCACGTAGAAGGGAAGTAATAAAATAATAAAAATAAAACATAATAAAATAATTCTCACGACGTTTCAGCTACAACGCAAGCAGCCGTCTTCATTCTTCACCTGAAGACGGCTGCTTGCGTTGTAGCCGAAACGTCGTGAGAATTATTTTATTATTTCTAGACTTGAAGCTTTCGTGACTGCAATGAATCATATTCTTAGGTGTTTTCGGTAAAGTTTTTACCTACGTGACTTTACCGAAAACACCTAAGAATATTATTTTATTATGTTTATAATTTTATTACTTCCCTTCTACGTGACTTTACCGAAAGAACCAAGAAGATGAATCCCTGCAGTCACGAAATCTTTAAATCGAAATTTAACTTTATTATTATTTTTCTATCTACGTTGACTTTACTGAAAGAACCAAAGAATATGAATTCCTGCAATTACCAAAGTTTCAAGTAAAAAATCATTCTCTTTTGTTGCGCACACACGTCACTAGCTAACGTGCAATCCGCTCCCAAATCAGCCACATCTCACTGCGCTACCTATTGACTCACTCTCCCGTGTGTGTACCTCGCCCCCTCCCCTCCCCGCCCTCCCTCCATCCCCCGTTGTCTCGCCCACCCCCCCCAGACGTGCCACACGCTGACGGAGAAGCTTGTCGCCATGACGATGGGCTCGGGGCTGAAGGTGAAATCGTCCAAGAGCCTCAGTGACATCATCACCGTGGCGAAGCGCATCGGCCCCCGGTTCGCAAGACCCCCACCCCAGTCCCCCCCCCCCCCCACCTAACCCACCCAACGCTCGCCACCCCAACACAGCACTCACCTGCTAGCCCCCCCCCCCCCCACCTGGTTTCTATTCGCTTCATTGCTGTACTTGGTGTCTATGTTTGTGTCACTGTGGTCATCCATGACACTATCCTGGCCTCTGTAGCCGTTAACTTACCTCACCTGGTATCCAGGAAGTCGTGGGTTCGATCCTGACCCTGGTGTTTGCGTGTCTCTCTCCGCGTGGCCGCGTGGATTTTACTCCGGGTCCTCCGGTTCTTCCCTCGACATTTAGAATCAACGTGCGGTGAGATTATTTGGCTGCTAGAAATTTCCACGTGATGAGCCACTTTGTTGAGCTATCTTTTGTGGCTTCTGAAAAGAACTACATAGCTCAATGGGCCTTACCTGATAAAATAAAAAAAGTGTTCAAAAGTTTCGTTTTAATAGTTTAAGTAGCTCTAAGCCTAGTTAAACAAATAAACTTTAGCTTCCTAAACCTCCCCCCCTCCACCCACCACCTTTACACCCTCTCCTTAAAATAACTCCCAGCCCCTTTTGTCTGACCCCTGACCCCTACTAACCCCTGACCACTCGAGCACTCACCCGGACCCCATTCCTCCCCCACCGTGACCCCTGACCCCCATGTTGCTGAGCGCTGGACAAGCAGCTGGTGGTTGTTGTTTTTCTGGGGAGTGGTGGTGCAGCGGTTAGCGTGCCGCGCTACGAACCCTAGGATCCGAGTTCGATTCCCGCTCACGACCAAGACCACTGTCCGATTTTCTGAACCGGTCCTGGCCCTCTCCTTGGTCGACTCAGCCTCAAATGATGACCTAGTGCTGGTGTGTAAACATCACCACTGGGGAGACAAAGGTGGCCGGGCGTGTTGTTGGCAACCCACCCCCTCGTGTGCAACTGTAACTAAACTATTTTTATTTTACCAGGTAAGGCCCACTGAGCTATAGAGTTATTTTTCAGAAGCGACCTGGCCACAAATAACAGCTCATCGAAATGGCTTATCATCATGGACATTTATTGCAGCCAAATAATCTAAGCGCATGTTTTTAAATTTTGGAGGGGAAAACGAGAGGATTCGGAGAAAAATCCACGCTACCACGGCAAGGGAGATATGCAAACTCCAAATATACAAGCGTTAGGGTCGGGATCGAACCCACAACTTCCTCTGTACCAGGCAAGGGAGGTAACATCTCGCCACCATGGCGCCCCTTACTAACAGCACTTGCCCCAACAGTCTGTTAAAGGCTATACGGGGGAACTTTGTCCTTTTGTTCTTTCGGTGCTGTTGTGGTGCAGGGTGGATGACGCTGTTCGCTGCATGTACAACCCCATGGAGCCCAAACTGCTGGAGGCACGGTGAGTCCTTCCTTGCCGTGCAACTAAACGGTTCACGGTTGTTGAGAGCAGCAGGCCGAAGGCCCAAAACCGCCAAGTAGCCAGCAACAAACAGCAGTGTGTAAAAGTGCTCGTGGACGGGAGTTATATATGATTCAACACGTAGGCTTTCGCAATCAATATCACGCATGAACAAAAATTCTTTCTGGGTGACATCGCGTAAATGTAATTGTGTCGTACGCCCACCTCCACCTTGACGCGGCCAATTAGTGAGGTTCGTTGCGTGAAACGTCGTACTCAAATTGTACGTGTTGCGGGATTACTCCCCAACACATCGATGGGCTGAAGTGGTCACTCATCGGCGCGTTGTATGCACATGACAAACCTTACCGAATGGTTCTCGGGTGGAGGTGGGTTTACCACACGGCATTTACATTCACGCGGCTCTCACCCAAGAAAAAAATGCCATCATTAAGCTAGTTAATACGTTCCTTAAAGTGAGCAGGGTTGTACGGACCTGGGGGAAAGACACGATGGGAGGGAATACCAAAGTGGAGAATTGCACGGGAATAAGCGGAGATAGAGAGGTGCTGTGACCTGCGGTGTGGTGGTTGAACCCTGTGCTGTGGGTGCATCCAATGTGGTGGTGAGTCTCTCAATAGGACACACAAAATGGTTCTCATTTAATTCAACTTGGGCGGGAGAGTGATGATGGGATAAGTCAACCCCCACCACGTTGATTTGAACTCGCAGCCTTTCCTTCGATTGTGAGCCACTCGCTCTAGCGCCGAGTCACCACGTCCGCACTTGACAGCCTGCGGTGCCCAGTGGATGGCCTCACTTAGGGGAGCGGTGGTGCAACGTTTAAGTGCGGCTGCGCTACGAATCCGGCGACCGGAGTTGGATTCCCGCTCACGGCCACCAAGACCAGTGACGATTATCTGAACTGGTCCTGCACCCCCCCTAGGTCGGCTCAGCCTAAAATAAGTGCCTGGTGCGATGTGTAAACATCACCACTGTGGAGACAAAGTCGGCCAGACGTGGTGCTGGCCACCCACCCCCTCGTGTGCTGTGCCGGCCTTCATAGGTGCTCGCTAACAGCACTTGCACCCCCAACAGTCTGTTAAGGCTATACGGGGGGATCTTTGTCTTTGGCCTCAATTATAATCCTCCGCCTGGCCCTGAGCCCTGCACAGGATGATATTTAAGGGGACCACATGACTTCTAGCAACATTGCTGCCCAGACTACAGCATCTAGAGCTGAGTGAATAGCGGAAAGGTATAATCAGTCAGGCCTGACTTAGGCCCATATATCTCTATGAACAGTTTGTTTTGACAATCCTCCTCCGAACAGAAAAAAGTTGAAACTAATTCTTTATACACACTGTAGTTTACAGCTAGGCTGTACCCATGCGAGTTTTATTGGGCACAAGCCAACAGACGAATGTGTTTGCCTGCTCGAGTTGACCTTCGTATCGGTTGAATCAATAGTTGAGTTGCATAATCAAAGCTTAAAGAAAAAATACTCCAGTATCTCCAGCAACTGTGTCCGGTCTTGAGTGGCCGCATGCCCCATTCCGCAAGTAAACAGCAAAGATTGAGCCCTTATCTGTTTACTTCTTTATGACGCTTCTCTTAAAAGGATTATGGTCTACAAAGCGCACGTGTAACTTTACGCACACCTGACGCGTGGTCCCTACTGCTATCGACTTATCGAAACAGTTTTGGTGTTTTACTAATAATGTTGAGAGCCAACGGTGCTAGGATGACGAGCAATAGACGATACATTCACCGATGACAAAATAAGATCCTATTTTCAAACGTTGCCTTCTGAGAGGACGACAGATTAACTGGAGAACGGGAAAACTCTGTACGGGATGCGATTGCTCGCGAGTGGCCGGATTGCGAACAAAAATTAACAGTTTTTTTTATCGATCTGATACTCGTTTTTATTCATTGATGAGGTTTGTTTTTCAATAATCGATGGGGTATTATTTGTTTATTATGGATAATATTGGTTGCGAAAGCTTACGAGTCACGGTCACAATATTGTTGCTCTATTGAGAGACATTTTTTTCTTCCATCTATTCACTTGGAAATTCAAGACTAAAATGCGGTAACGATAGCGACCGAGTGCCCCTCCGTTACCCTTCCTGTGTAACCGGAACCGTTGCTGTGTTCACGGCCCCACGGGGGGGGGGGGGGTGTCATGTGGCATCAAATCAACGACTCTTCCCAGATGAGGGCACGACCCGTGCTAGTGAGTGACCACAGCTGTAGGAGTAACAGTGGGGAGTGGTGGCGCTGCGCTACAAATCCAGTGGTGACCCGAGTCTCGATTCCAGCTCACATCCAATACCAGTGACGATTATCTGAATTTGGTTCTGGGGCCTTCCCCTTGGTCGACTCAGCCCCAAATGAGTACCTGGTGCGGTGTGTATACATGACCACTAGGGAGACAAATGCGGCCGGGCGTGGTGCTGGCCACCCACCCACCTCGTGTGTGCCATACCCACCTTCATAGGTGCTCGCTAACAGCACTTGGCCCAACAGTTTCTTAATGCTATACGGGGGATCTATGTCTTTTGTCATGGTCGAGGCTACCAAACGTCGCAGTTTGGCCGGTAAAGTCCTGGTTTCAGAGGACGTCCCGGTGTCCCGAATACTTTAGCGAAAATCAAGATTTTGTCCCGGTTGCAAATTATTTGGCCTCATGCTCACCGCACGATTTGGGTAGAGGACGGGGCTACCCGAGCAGTGGGCGGGGCTATAAGTGGAGAAGGCGGGGCTTATGCTGCTTGAGTGGGCGTGGCCATATAAAAGTGGGTCTGCTTGAAAGGAGGTGAGAGGGGCTCCTGGGTCCTGGTTGAGCCTCCCAGAAAATTGGTCGCCTTGTCCGCTCAGCCACATCCTCTCTATCCCGTCCTGCACGCTGCCTCGAGGCTCTCTGTGTCTCAATGCTGAATTTAAGAGTAAACATTGTGTGCTGTTATCATTAGACAATGAATAATAGTAAGCGAGGCTACTAGCTCACCATGTATCCTGCTTGAGCCTCCCAGACATATCGTCGCATTAGCCATGATCAGGAGTGTCATCCTGTCCCTCCTGATTCTTCCCCCTGTCCACCTCCGTCCTTATCTCCCCCCCCCCCTCCCACCCCTGTGGGAGCAGGCTGACGGCACTGCTGCTGTCCGTGTCGCACCTGGTGCTGGTGACGCGCAGCGCGTGTCTGCTGAGCGGCGGAGGCCAAGGCCTCGACTGGGTGGACCGCTCGCTGTCGACGGCGGAGGCGCACATGGCAGTGCTGCGCGAGGCGGCCGAGGCCTCGGAGATGGAGCCTTTGGCGGCGCCGCCGGCGTTCGTGCTGGCACCCACACCGGCCTCGCTGGGCGACGTCTGCGCCCACCCCAGCGCGCAGTCGCACCTGTGAGCCGTCGACCCACCGATCTCGTCTAACCGACCGACTGACGGGAGGGCGGTAGACGGGTGTGCCTGAGATTGTTGTCATTGTTATCATCAGCAGCAGCAGGATTGATAGCAGCAATATAGCCCTCATCATCATCTTCAACAGCAGGAGCAGCAGCATCGGTATCATCATCAGGGACAGAATCATTGCTATCAGCGGTATTGCAGTAAGCAGCATCATTCACAACATTAGCAGCACAATACAATTCTTCTCAGTGTTATCATTATTATCGTCGTCAAAATCAGTCATCATCGACATCAACTTTATCAGCAGCAGTAGTATCATCATCATCATCGTCTTCTTCTTCTTTCTCATCAACAGCAACAGCAGCAGCATTGTCATCCGTTCACAGAGAGCCACAAAGCGGCCCTACATAGTTCTAGTGCCAGACAATCACTGGGCCCACGCGGGCAGCAGGTGAACGTTGGTGTGGACACACTCGCACCTTTACCAGCGAGACCGGCAAGCGCGGCTCACTCCCGGCATTCAACTGCTTCCTCCCGCAACTCAATGCACGGCGACTTTCTCGTTCGTCCACGATGGACGGTATCGTTAAAGCTACCAACAACGTCTTGGTCTTTGCCTGAACAGTTATATTAAGGCTGTGCTCCTACTGAAACATTTTACTTTTTTGTTGTCTACAGTTTAAAATTTCGTGAACTCATGCTCGGTTCATGATACGGGCAAAAGATGTCGCGAGACTTCAGCAGGCTGGGCCTATAAGCGGTGGGTGGGACGAACATCATCGAGAGGCTTGAAGGTGGCCGCTCGCCATGGGCGGTGCTAGTGGCCGAGTGGGCGTGGTGATTGAGAAGTGGGCGGGGCCAGCTCTCACCATGTGTCCCCCGTTTTGAGTCGCCAACAAATGTGTTGGAAGCAGGAAAGCACTGAGCCGTGATCATTGAAGCCGGTGTAGAATCGCTTGAAAGCTTGCACAAAAGACGTGCATAGGACATTCTCACTCAAGCGCCCTTTCACGGTTTGCATTTATTGGATTCGAACCGGAAGGGGAAAAGCTGCTGTTTTAAGTATAACTTTATCTGGCTTATACCCCCGCATGGATGTCATACTAAGAATAAGGATGTTTTATCTGCGAAACAGCTGTGTGCCGAGGCTTTATCTCTGTAGTGTACGCGCACGTACTGTGTAAGTGTGTGGTGATTCATCGATGCCTACTTACGACGTGAGCATCGAATGATGCGTGGCGAAGAAAAACGCATGCTTTTAGACACATTCAAATCAGACGCCGATAGCACATTCACTCTAAGGGAGCAAACACAACTGCACAAATGGAAAACGTCCAAAATAGTACAAACGGGGTTTCGACAAAATGAGAAAATACATGGCTGTCCTTCAGAAACTCAGTTAAATTCCTGAAGATTCTCCCAGCCTCCGGGGCGAAACATCGGACATCGTGCCGACACGACGCGCGGCGTGAAACTTAAAACCCATGGGGAGAGCCGTGCTGCACAACCAAGAAAACCCGACATCGGCAGGGGATGAAAAATATACGTATTGTTGAATCGTATCGCGGGCCGTGAAATCGCGACGGCTCCACGCAATCATCCCCCGCCCCCTTTGTGTTGCGTAAAGTGACGTGTGCTGAGCAGGTGACATCGGCCAACGATTATTGGCTCGGGTGATGTGGGCTGCCTGGGGGAATGCATGAGCGCCCCAAGGCGTTTATCTGCTTTTTTTTTACAATATAACAAAAACGTGCTCTGGCGAGAGGAATCGTAAAAGCGTTAACCATTAACCTGTGGCCGCGTCTGAACGAGAGGACATGGCGACAAGGTTTACAGACACCGGCGGTTAGGTGCAGCTCAGGCTGGCGAGAGGGCCTTTCACTCCTCTTATCAATTAAGCCACTGGGACGCCTGTGACAACTCGGCTCATATTGGGTCTCCGCCTACTTCGATGAGTAGATTGGGCACAGTCGCATGTTCATCCAGAGAGCGTAGAGCTAGATGAAAGCTTGGCAAAAGTTGGGGGTGGCTGCATGTACGTTGAACTTCTTTCGCAAGGTACGTAGCCAACCGTGCTAATCGAAGGTGTGGGGGAAGGACAACAAACTAAACGCAATAAGCAGTTCGAAAGATCCATACTCTTTGGTTTTGTCGGTAAAGTCACGTAGGTAAAAAATAATCACGACGTTTCGGAAGCAACACAAGCAACCGTCATCAGGTGTTGACTGCTCCAGTGGGTAAGTTCTAAAGATATTAGTTTTCAAGAAAGATTTAAAAGGGCTTCCTAATATCGGAAGGAAGAGGGTTCCAGATGGCCGCAGAAGCGCATCTGAAAGCACGCGACTCAGTGACCGTCTTTGTTCGATGGCCAGCCAGAAGCGGCTGTGAGCATGACCGGAGTTCGCGTGATGGTTTCGGCTGGGTGTCTCAGGGGTCAGAGCACTGAGCCGGTACCAGTGTGTTCGCAAATCTTGCTCTGTTGCCCCCACAGTCTAGAACTCCCCCTACAATCCGTGCTCTCGACTCCCTGCTTCTTTTCAAGTCCAGACTCAATCACTTTTTTTCCCGCGACCTGTGCCTGGCTGCCTCGTTCCGTCCATGAAATAAATACGCCTGCCGTTTCTGTACAGCATCTTGAGATTCTCTTGCATTGTTAACTTCCCACAAATTGAACTTCCGGTAGCGAGTGACGCGCTATGACCCTGGCACTGTCCCGTCAGTTTCTTGCCGACTTCTGGATTTAAGAATATAACGAATAATCAACAATTTTTTTACAGTTCAGCCCTTTCCCACCCGCACTGCCTACATGAGATTAATGTTCATCGCGTGACAGTCGAACCCTAATTTTTGTTTTTATCTGAGCTGGAGTTTTGCCACAATAAGTGCAGGATTTGGCGATATTCCAGTTTTATGTGTGTTGGTGCAATCATCCAGGATCTCGAGCATGCCAGCTTATTCCTCTACCTTCTCAGCCTCCTATGTCCTTTTTTTACGTGAGAAGTTAAACACATCCTCAGATCCATCCTGACCCGACCCCTCCTTGGCCACAGCCGTGTTCGGAGGGCGAGGGTTCAATCCCGACCCTGATACCTGCTGTATATTTTGAGTTTGCGTGTCTCTTTCTCTCTCCGTGATTTGCGTGCATTTTTCTCCGTGTCCTCCGGTTTTTCCCTCCACATTTAGAAACGTGCATTGGAGTTTTTGACTGCGATCGATTCCCACGTGATAAGCCACTTCGTTGAGCTATCATTTGTGATAGCCAGGTCGTTTCTGAAAAAAGAGCTATTTAGCTCGGCGGGCCTTAGCTGGTCAGATAAATTCCACAACTGGCAGCTGAAGCCTTTCGCGTCGTTGACCTGTGCTGCCCGTGTCATTCCTCTTTCTTGGGTGGGGTCAGCGCCCGCGCGAGCGTGGGAGGCCACGTGACTCCTGGGTTCACACCCCCCGCCCCCCCCGTGTGCAGCCTGGCACTGTTGACAGTCACCATCTCATTCATCAGGAACTCAATAACATCCCTCGGCATCGCTTGAAGTCAAGCAAGCCCCTTTTGGACCCGTGCGCTTAACCTTCAACAAAGCGAGTTCAACCCCGACGAAGTTTGGCGAGCTGAATGGAGCTCAAAAGAACTCGCAAATAAACACCTTGTTAAAGACCCAACACAGCAGATCGCTGGTGTTTGAACATCCACGAAGCTCATGGTCCATCATAAACCACACCCGCACAAACCATGGCAGATGCGATTACCAGATGCATAAAAACGCTCCAGTCTGTGACTGTGGTCATCCAGAACAGACCGCACAACGCATGGCGACGCAATGCCCCGATCCGCAAATACGAAGGGGGACATCACAGCGATGATGCCCTCTGCTACTCCTGACGCGGTTTGTCTTGCTTGACCACGTCAGCGTGAAGGTGGACTTGCTGCTGTGCTTCTACATCGGCCGTACCCAAGAAGAAGACTGGCGACAGATGTTTAGTCCGAAACCTCTGTCGACAGAGTGCCTCGTGGTCGGAATGTTTGACCAGACTTCCAGCACACGTGCTGATTTTGAAAAATACGTGTTTATTTGTCCCAGATTACAGCCCTCTTGTAAATTGACTCGTGTGCAGGTGCAAGGTGGATTATTACATCGCTGGACGGTGAGGGATGACAACGGCTTGGTAGGCCTCTTTCCAACAATTGAGAGCTCACAGCTGATGATAATGATGATTCCGAGTGTGTTGTGAAGACATTTCCGCATGCAATGTGAGCAGAAAGTGAAAAGTACCCAGTGTTAAGAGAATGTGCTCTGGAAAAGTTGGCATCACATAACTACTTGAGGGTCCCTTCAATTGCCTCATTCTCAATCGGCGATGCAAATTCTCACATGCGCTGCTATAGAAGTGCTTGCAACACGGCAATCCTCAAGAGCTGCAGACAAGCCAGATGAAGTGTGAAAAATGAAAAATCTACATTAAAGAAGATGGCATTATCGTTCAGTCTTTGGTGACCACGCTGAGACCATCAGCAGTGCTGTAGCCCAGGTGTGAACCCTGGGTCTCGGCCTCCTGAGCTCCCCGGTCCACCTTTGCGTGACCTCTGCTTGAAAAGCCAGAGCACACGGTGGCATTTAAACTGCGGCAACATGGACAGATCTGCACCTCCAGGGCTGTAAATGCCAACTGGACATCCGTGTAAAAGAGCTTCCCAGCTCATCGGATTTCTCCAGGATGAAATAAAGATTCTCATTCTGGAAAGGGATTCACGACCCTGGATCGGGCTAAATTACGTTCTGTTTCGAGCGCAAGGCAATGGCCCAGCAAAAGCCACGTTCACTTGGAGTGAAAGTGGCACATGGCATGGTGTTGTGTTGGGGGGTGGGGAGTGGTAGTGTAATGGTGAGGGCGCTGCGCTACAAATCCAACACCAGTGATGAATATCTAAACCGGTCCTGGGCCTCCCCTAGGTCGACTCATCAACCAAAAAAAGTACCTGGTGCGGTGCGTAAACATCACCATTGGGGATGCAAAGGGGCGTGGTGCTGGCCATCCACCCCCTCGTGTGCCGTGCCGGCCTTCATAGGTGCTCGCTAACAGCACCTGCGCCAACAGTCTGTTCCAGGCTATAAGGGGGTCTTTGTCTTTGTTGCGGTCACGTGAAATTCAAGGCATGACGGGGGGACTGAAGCCTATGGTCACAATCGTGCGTTTTGTTGTCTAGAAATCCCCTCTCGCGTTCGATTTTGGTCGAAGGGAATGTGTCCAGCTGCGCGTGTCTTGGGCCCTGTGGACTTGCGCTGGTGGGAAGTAACACATCCCACAAGGCACAGCTAACTCTGTCCAGCAGCGTTCGTTATAACGAAGCAGTCAGAAGCTGTTCAGCATCGACACGAAAGTGAAACAGTGCCAGCCTTGAGTTAGGATTTGACGCAAAAGTAAATTGTTTGCTACTTCAGAGATTTGTTATTTTAGAAATGTGTTGGGTATAATCTGGACGGACATATGTCCATCGACAAGCGGGCTGATGTAACCTAAATAAGCTTATATCTAAATCAACTATTTGGTGACACTACTGCGTTGGCAGTGGTGCACAAGCACAATTAACAACAGCAATGACTCAACACGTTCCTCAATAAAAATGTGACTTTAAAATAAATGATAATAGACGTTTCAGGAAATGGCCCTTCACAGCATATCGGCCAGAGATGTAGTCACTCTGCCTTTAGCCTCTTGTATATTACATACTTGTTCTCGTTAAGTTTATGTTATTGATGAATGTTTTTTTTTTTATAACTTATATCAGATGACCCTATGTAATCGGCACGTGACATTTGTCTACGGACCCATGTGCCAAATGTGCACGTGACTTATTTAAGGCCTTCCAAACTTCTCTGCATCCGTCTCTGTGTCCTTTTTTGTCCCTGGTATCAATGATGGGCGTTTACGTAGTTCTTTGTCTGGCTGTGTGTCTCACAGTTAAGCAGTCATGCGTCTCTGTGGCACCAACAGAGTCTCACTCGTGGAGCCAAAGTAGTCTATCTTCACGAAGTGAAGCTTCAGATTTGTGGGACAGCCTGGGACGCACGGCCTGCATGCATGTTGTATGTTGAACTTATTTCGCACCGTACGTAGCCAAACGTGCTAACCGGAGGTGCAGGGTAAGGACAACAAACTAAACACAAAAATCTGTTTAAAAAAACGAGTTTTCAATCTAGATTTAAAAGCGCATAGCTCCAGTGGCTTCATAATATCGGAGGAGCGTTCCAGACAGAAGCAGAAGCGCGTCTGAAAGAGTGCCATGCGGTGACCGTCTTTGTTCGATGGTTAGCCGAAAGCCGCTGTTGCGAGGATGACCGGAGTTTGCGTGATGGTTTATGCTCTTCGACGAGATCAGCGAGGCATTGTGGTTCATTTGTGGCAAGCACTTTGTGTGTAATGAGTGCGACGACTTTAAGATGTTTCTTGTTCATGTTTTTGTTTGTTGCGGTTGCACCCGATTCAAGAGCCGAATGGCTCCACAGGGCTACACCTAATAAATACAACTGAAAACTGAAACTGAAGTGGCTACAAGATGAGACCCGCTGCTTCGTTTTCATCGTTTCAGAATCAGAATCATCATTTCGACTACAGGAATCCGATGAGCTATGAAGCTCTTTTTCACAGATGTCAAGGAAGAGTTCACCAGACCGACCCTGCAAACAGACTTCGTGAAGAAGAAAAAAAACACGCTTCAATGTTTTTCATTTTATATACAGTACTGTAATTGCTTTTATATAAAAAAAAATACGTAGATGGTCTAGTTCAGTCGCAGCAATGTATATACACAATGCATAAGCATTTACTTAAATATATTTGTTGTTGTTCAGCACATGACCCCCGCAGCCACTAGTGGCCGCTACATTCAACACAATGTTTTAACGAATTGACTGCAATCGAATCACACAATCCTGAATGATGACAATTCATCAAATCGCCGGGAAGAGGGATCGTCACACCCCAGATGGAAAGTCACGCGCAACTGTTTAGATTTGAAGTCTCTGAACATTTCATCGCCAGTACATGTAACAGCTATAACCCACTGTGCCATAGATACATTTTACATTATATATATGCATACATATATCAAGTTTTGTGTTTGAATGTCACAATAAATACCATGAACCATTGTGCGGTCATCGCGGACACTCTGCAAGACACGTTCAACACCAGCGGCGCAACATTGGACATTGCATTCAGTAAACGGTCTCTCTGGTGAGATCAAATCAACACATCGTTATACATTGACCTGTAAATGACAGTTCGAGAGGAAATGGGAGTGAAAACAATCGAGTAAGCCAGAGTCGAGGAAAGATGACGGGGCCCAGACACGAACATCCTCCCGGATTAACCTAGAGGCTAATAAGGGCCTTAGGCCCTCTAATATTTTGTAGGGAAGTCTTCTTACTCCTAACTCAAGATCGGGACACACTCCGGAGGGGGCCAGATGAAACGTTGTTCCAGGGTGTTGGCCCGCATATTTTGAAGGCCCTCCGTTAGGCCCTCCGTTCCACATTGAAGTAAGCAGGTGAGCGTCAGTAGAGCGGCCTTCACAAATGTTTTTGTCGTTGAATTAACGTTGACATCTTCTTGGTTCTTTCGGTAAAGCCACGTAGAAGGGAAATAATAAAATAATACAAATATAAACATTAATAATTCTCACGACGTTTCGGCCACAACGCAAGCAGCCGTCCTCAGGTGGAGACCAGGTCTGTCGGGGAGACAGCGTCTTCACCTGAGGACGGCTGCTTGCGTTGTGGCCGAAACGTCGTGAGAATAATTTTATTATGTTTTAATTTTATTATTTTATTATTTCCCTTCTACGTCACTTTACCGAAAGAACCAAGAAGATGAATCCCTGCAGTCACGAAAGCTTAAAATCGAAATTTCATTATGTTTTATTTGTATTATTTTATTATTTCCCTTCTACGTGACTTTACCGAAAGAACCAAGAAGATGAATCCCTGCAGTCACGAAAGCTTTAAATCGAAATTTCATTATGTTTTATTTGTATTATTTTATTATTTCCCTTCTACGTGACTTTACCGAAAGAACCAAGAAGACGAATCCCTGCAGTCACGAAAGCTTTAAATCGAAATTTCATTATGTTTTATTTGTATTATTTTATTATTTCCCTTCTACGTGACTTTACCGAAAGAACCAAGAAGACGAATCCCTGCAGTCACGAATGCTTTAAATCGAAATTTCATTATGTTTTATTTGTATTATTTTATTATTTCCCTTCTACGTGACTTTACCGAAAGAACCAAGAAGACGAATCCCTGCAGTCACGAAAGCTTTAAATCGAAATTTCATTATGTTTTATTTGTATTATTTTATTACTTTCCCTTCTACGTGACTTTACCGAAAGAACCAAGAAGACGAATCCCTGCAGTCACGAATGCTTTAAATCGAAATTTCATTATGTTTTATTTGTATTATTTTATTATTTCCCTTCTACGTGACTTTACCGAAAGAACCAAGAAGACGAATCCCTGCAGTCACGAAAGCTTTAAATCGAAATTTCATTATGTTTTATTTGTATTATTTTATTATTTCCCTTCTACGTGACTTTACCGAAAGAACCAAGAAGACGAATCCCTGCAGTCACGAATGCTTTAAATCGAAATTTCATTATGTTTTATTTGTATTATTTTATTATTTCCCTTCTACGTGACTTTACCGAAAGAACCAAGAAGACGAATCCCTGCAGTCACGAAAGCTTTAAATCGAAATTTCATTATGTTTTATTTGTATTATTTTATTACTTCCCTTCTACGTGACTTTACCGAAAGAACCAAGAAGATGAATCCCTGCAGTCACGAAAGAAGCTTTAAATCAACATTTTATTATGTTTTATTTTTATTATTTTATTACTTCCCTTCTACGTGACTTTACCGAAATAACCAAGAAGACGAATCCCTGCAGTCACGAAAGCTTTAAATCGAAATTTCATTATGTTTTATTTGTATTATTTTATTACTTCCCTTCTACGTGACTTTACCGAAAGAACCAAGAAGATGAATCCCTGCAGTCACGAAAGAAGCTTTAAATCAAAATTTTATTATGTTTTATTTTTATTATTTTATTACTTCCCTTCTACGTGACTTTACCGAAAGAACCAAGAAGACGAATCCCTGCAGTCACGAAAGCTTTAAATCGAAATTTCATTATGTTTTATTTGTATTATTTTATTACTTCCCTTCTACGTGACTTTACCGAAAGAACCAAGAAGACGAATCCCTGCAGTCACGAAAGCTTTAAATCGAAATTTCATTATGTTTTATTTGTATTATTTTATTATTTCCCTTCTACGTGACTTTACCGAAAGAACCAAGAAGATGAATCCCTGCAGTCACGAAAGCTTTAAATCGAAATTTTATCCGAAAGAACCAAGAAGATGAATCCCTGCAGTCACGAAAGCTTTAAATCGAAATTTTATTATGTTTTATTTGTATTATTTTATTATTTCCCTTCTACGTGACTTTACCGAAAGAACCAAGAAGATGAATCCCTGCAGTCGCGAAAGCTTTAAATCGAGATTTCACGTTGACATCATTCATGACTTTGCCACAAGCTAAAGCTAAGGATGAAAACAAATTAAGAAAATAGTGTAGTGAGTGATTTATGTTTGATTAATTTACATTGAGTGGAATAAATGCGTTCATAGGTAAATAAATAAATAACTGTGACTTCATTAAAACACATTTTGCAATAGGAAAGACATACTTAGACCCTCCCTCCTATTAGTCGTATGCCCCTCATAACCTGAATCCGGCCTTACGTGGTAGGCAACATGAGCAGTAGTGCTGGATAAAGTAATACTGGCTACCCAAGGGCATCTATTCCCAAGAAGTATGTTCCCAACTGTAGAACAAGGGAGTGTGAGTGTGTATTCGTATAGAGTAGGAGTGCAGCGTTCATCACGATGTGCTACGAACCTGGTGACCCGTGTTCAATTCCCGCTCATGGCCAACAACAGTGACGATTATGAATCGGTCCTGGGTGTCCTCAAGGTCGACTCGGCCTCAAATGACTACCTGGTACGGTGCGTAAAAATATCGCCACTCAGGAGACAAAGGCGGCCGGACGTAGCGGCTCCCCACCCACCCACCCCCTCGTGTGCCGTACCGCCCTTCATAGTTGCTCGCAGCACTTGCCACCAAAAGTCCGTAAAGGGTCTACGGGGGGGCAGCTTTGGAGAGGCTCACACGACCGTTTCCACGCTGTGGATCAGCTCGCCGGGCTTGGGGCGTCTCACCGCACTCCACGGGTACCCGAGGTCTCCGCGAGCTCCAAGACACCGGGTTGGGGTTGAACTGGGCTCCGTCACCTCGCCGGCCGCAACAGCATCAGGAGGGGCAGCAGGAGGTGCAGCAGCAAGGGCAGCGGCAGGGGCAGTGGCGGTACTCCACCGGACGAGGGGCAGGAGGCGTCCCTGAGTCGCATCTCCCGGCCGGACAGGCACCGCTGTGCTGGGCAGCCGTTCTAGCGGGGTGAACGCTCGGTACACGTATTTACCTGTGACAACGGGGGGTGGGGTTGGTGGGGGGGAGAGGTAAGAAGTGCAAGTCGGTGGAATGTGCAGACAGTGTCAGAGGAGGGAAGTCTTCTACTCCCAACTCAAGATCGGGACACGCTTCGGAGGGAGCCAGATGAAACGTTGTCCCAGGGTTGTCCACAAGAGCAACCTCACCAAGTGCAACATCGGCCGGGTAACATGGTAACAGCAGTGTTTGTCAACTGCTGGCGGGTGAGTACTAGGCTAGATCAGTGGTTCTCAAATTGTATTGGCTAGTGGTATCACCTTGATGAATTTTGTTTCAACCGAGTACAGTACCCTCCCTTGCCTGACCCAACATGGTTCTGAGAAATCAATGAATGAATAATGAACATTAGTTTATCAAGGTACTGTATTATAAATCGTTCTAGGTTACTCCGTGGATTCAAATTTGATCGTAGTTATTTTATATTGGCAGACTCATACATGATTATTCACCAACGACTCTCACATATGATATAATTCCACACATTGATAAAAAATCATCTCACGTACCCCCAGTATATCCCCGGTTGAGAACCACTGAGGCTAGACAATGGAGCAGAAGCAACACTCACAGTGGCACCACCCCAGCAGGCAGCACCAGTGCAGGCGGAAGCAGCGTCCGTGGCTGTGCGTGGCGCACAGCGCGCTGTGGCCATGCGGGCCGCCCCCACGGCACGCCTGGAAGTCCGGCGTGCCCGCCCGGTCACGCGCCAGGCTCTGCGCCTCCTCTTGCAGCCGCTTGTGCAGCAGCAGAGAGGGCCCGTCGCACAGGAGGACACTGCAACCGCGACCACCAGAACTAGCAGCAGCAGCAGCTCCAGCAGCAGATCCAGCCTTAGAGGCCATCGCCATGGGCTCTATGTTGGAACTGTCCGTCAAATCCATCCATTGTGGTGTAGCAATGGTGGCGGCTGATTCCTGCTGCTGCTGCTTCTGCTGCTGCTGCTGCTCCACTTGACTGAGGTGCAGCTCAGCGTCGCCGCTGTCCAGTAGCCGCGAGGTTGGGTTGGGGTAGATGTTGATGGTTTGGTGGGTCGCCCCACCGTGGCCCGGTGAGGATAATGCATCAGGCGTCGCGGGAGCTGACGGGAGCAGGGACTTTAAATCCTCCCACTGCTGCCCTCCTCCGTCATCCATGCCCCTGAGGTGTTTGGGTTACAGTGTGAGACATCCAAATCGTAACTTCAGTGATATACTTGATATTAAATGTAAGGCATACGCTTTGTAATCCGACCAGTCAGCGTCTGTGGTCAGAGTTCTTCAGTTATCCCTTAGGTCTGGATAAAATAAGTAGTGTACGACTTTGTGGGAAATTGATGACGGTGATCCTCATATAAATTACCTTCCTTGCCATGCGAACGTGGAACTTCCACAATTGGCTCAGGGGCTGCCAAAGGAGGTGAGCGCTTCGCCTTTGTTCATTTGGTCAGACGTTTTAATTGTTGGCTCGATAGCCATGAGTAATGATAGTCATAGTTAAACCATTTATGAGTACACGGTGGCTAGATGTTAACTACCTCGCCTGGTATACAGGAGGTTCGTGGGTTCGATCCCAATCCTGACGCTTGTATATTTGCAGATTGCGTGTCTCTCTCCCCGTGGTCGTTTAGATTTTTTTCCAAGTCCTCCAGTTGTTCCCTTCACATTCAGAATCAACAAGTGTATTTGGTTGCAAGAAATTATCCACGTGATCATAAGCCACTTCGTTGAGCTATCATTTGTGGCCAGGTCACTTCCGAAAATACAAGCTACATAGCTCAGTGAACTTTACCTGGTAAAATAAAAAAAATAGTTTATGGTTCATAACAGCCTCTGTGTTGAAAAATGCAAAGCCCCCAGCCAACTCTGCTCATGGGAGATAGCTCCTTTTCTGCGTCTGCAATGAGGTCTGAAAAGCGGCTGGTGACACGGCCTACCGGTAGGTGGCGTTAACTCCTCGACGAAGAGGGCCACAGTTTCAACCCAGCGGCTGCCCTGGTTATTACCGTGGGTGTAAGTAAACCATCGATAAGTAGTACTACACGTCACCTGCTTCAACAGTGAACGGTGATGGTTGAGCCATTGCATTGCCAGTGTCACGGTCCAAATTTGACGTCATGGTCCAAATTTGAAAATGACACTGTAAATCACTCGATTGTATGGACGTATGCATGTCGAACTTCTTTCACACCGCACGGAGCCAAGCTTGTTCATCGAAGGTGCGGAGGGAAGGACAACAAACTAAACGCAAGAAGCAATTAAAATATAGGCAGCAATCATCGCCCCCTGCAGTTCGCAGTCGGGGTAACGATTTATGTGAAGGTTTTCAATTGCTTGGCAGGACCCTCTTGAAAAAGAGTCACGCGACTCGATGAGACTTCCCCTGGGTAAACAAGAGTAGTAGACATAAAAAGAATAATAACTCCGCCTAGTTCAGATCTTGGAAGATATACATTCGGTTACGGGGTTAAAACTATCTAATCTACATTTTTTTATTTTACCAGTTAAGGCCCACTGAGCTATGTAGCTCTTTTTCAGAAGCAACCTGGCCACAAATGATAGCTCAACGAAGTGGCTTATCATGTGGAGATGTACATCAGCCAATAAACTCTAAATGCATGTTGATTATAAATGTGGAGGGAAAAACCGGCGACCATGGTGAGAGAGACACGCAAACTCCAAACATACAGCAGGCATCAGGGTCAGAATCGAACCCACGATGTTCTACCCCGCGGCAGATATAGGGGAGTGTTTATACATGAACTTCCTGATATGATGATGCTGAGTTTGGTCACGCGACCAGGAAGTTCTGGGTTAAGGGTCTCGAAGTAACGAGGCCAGGAAGGGGTGTCAGCCATTACACAGAGTACAAAATGGAGTTACACTTTGCGTCTCAGTGAAGACGGGTGCATCTGTTCATTGATGGACTTTAAGAAGCATTGTCTGTACGTTCATATTCTTATAATACTGGGAATGGTGTTATAAGGTTGGGATTGCCGTTATAATGCTGTAAATTCCTTCATAATGCTGTTAAATTGTTACGATGAATATGGGGCCTAGTTAACAATGAAGCCTGCCACTTGCAAAATTGTGAATGTTATTTGTAGTTGAATATGTCGAGCCAGACTTGTGCCCGTGTAACTTTAATGTGTTCTTGAGAGCAAGAATTAAGATGTATCTCATCCACAGTTCAGTGTTATATGCAGCACTGTACATTTAGGCTGCAGTATGGTGATTACATAAAATAACCTTATTTAACACAGTAGCTTATTCTCTTGTTGTATCGCTATTCAGCGTTAATGCAGGTGCCTGTGGACCCATTGTTGAGATTCATGTTATCTAAGACAATTTTATGATGCTGCAGTGTTCATTCATTGTAGTGATATTGCAGATGTAGTGGAGTAATGCTCGTAGGGTTTGCAAACATAAGTTGCATTATGTACGGGGTTGCAGACAGTGAGGTCAGCTAAGGATAAGCAGGTGGGTGGTCTGGGTCACAGCAGACAGAGAGACGCCAGCAATTAGGGAAAGAGGCAGTGATTGGCTGGCTGCAAATACAAACGTGGAGTAGGCGCCACGGTGGCGAGAGATAGTGGCGATATGCGGGAGAACACGTGCGTGAGGTGAGGTGTGGGAAAGACGCCGGCTCAATGAGGGCCATCTAGGGACACTTAATGAGGAGGGGGATAAAAGGGGAACGTGTGAGGCAGAGGAGTTGAGTTGCTTGGAGTGAAGACACGAGTGAATTGAAGAGAAGTCCGGGACCCTGCTCTCCACACCTCGTCCTCTGCAGCGGTGTTGGCTGATCCCCCGCTGGAGGCAAGGGCGAGGTTGGAGGAGTGAGGGTAGACAGTCTAGCAGTAGAGAGGCTAGCGGAATCCTAAGTGTGAGTGTGCTAAGGTTAGCAGTGGAGAGGCTAGCAGAATCCTAAGTGTGAGTGTGCTAAGGCTAGCAGTAGAGAAGCTAGCAGAGTGTATAGTAAGCTAGCGGAGTCCTAAGTGAGGGTGTGATAAGGCTCGCAGTGTAGGAGCTAGCGGAGTGTATAGTGAGAGGCTAGCAGGGCAGAACCTAGTGGAGAGTTTCGTGAGAGGCTGGCAGTGGAGAAGCGGGCAGAGCTTAACGTAGCAGACGAGTAGTACAAGAGGAGGAGTTGCGACTGAGACGCGTGGTGTTGAATGCCAGGAGTTCTGTACGAATAAAGTGACACTGAAGAAAAGAAGAAGTTGCCAGTGTGAAATAGCACTACTACACAGGTATTAACGGATGCTGTATTTTGTGTTGTGTTTTCCCATCAGTTTCACCTCGTTTAATTCGTGAAATACGTTGGAGTCAGATGTTCACCCTGGCTCTGAAGGTGTTACTGAATGCGAGGTTAACTACTCGGATAGTGGCGCAACGCATGGCGCAGCGAGGCCGAGGCACACGACCTCCTGCCTATCGTGCGAGGTCGTTAACATCTCGCCACCGTGCGGGAAAAATCAATTATTGTACAATGAGTCTATGCTCCTGCGACTGTGCCCACCCCCCTTTCACCTACACACACTGCCCAGTGTGGTGAAGTATGGCCACAGAACCCCCCCCACCCCCCCATTCAGCAGTGGATAAGACAAAAGTGTTGTCACGCGTTCACTGCACGTTTCCCCTACAGCCGCTTGGGGCGCTGCATTCGCTGCAATCTTAAAAGTCACGATCCGAATCGTGATTCATCGAGTGGCCAGCATCATTGTGGGCTAAACCACAGAAAGAGAGAGAGAGGCATCACGATTCCACGTCCCATGCAAGTCCACGAGTGCCTCATTACAGCACGGTTAACCCAAGTGATTTCCATCACCCACAACACTTGACATGCCTCTGTCAATCCCGCACCTCCGATTAGCACGGTTGGCTATGAACGGCACGAAAGAAGTTCAAATTTTCTTGCTGTGGATTTCACACCTCATGATGATGATTGCTTGTGTTGAAGTTGAAACGTCGTGAGAATTTTTATTTTTTATATTTATTTTTATTTTATTATTTCCCTTCTACGTGACTTTACCGAAGGAACCAAGAATATGAATCCCTGCAGTCACGAAAGCTTTAAATCTAAAGCTCTATATACATACAATCCACCGCTGGATGAAGGCATCCCCATGCCCGTTATTGTTTATGGGTGCTGTTTGGCCATTCTTCGACGGTGCCGGTTAAGGTGGAGTTGTGCCTGCCCTGTCCTGCCTTCTGGCCTGCCCATGGGCCGGTTTCTACATCACTCGCCACTGACGTTAGCCGTGAATTGTTACTAAACTCGACGGGTCCATAGCTCGGTGTGCGTCCACCACACTGTTGGTGCCACCGCTTCATCATCATCACCACCGCCACCACCATCCCCTCCCCCTATCACCATCGTCGTCCATGATCTATCCACTGCTGGGTGGCAGGCCTTCCCTTCCCCCCACCTCCCCCCCGAGCCGCCCGCCATCTCTCGCAGGGTCTGATCGAGCGACACGCAAATCCCTCCTCTTCCTCCCCGCCACCCAACACGGCTCCTCCTGCACACCACCAGGCAGCGAGCCTCAACGGGGTGGCCGGGGGTCGAGACGAACGGCGGAGTGGCAGCCAAACGAAGGAATGGAAGTGAGCGAGAGAGAGAGAGGAGAGATGAACGAAGCAAAGTGCCGACTACACCGAGCATCTTCTTGTTTCCTCCGATCGTAAAATAGAGAGAGAGGAGAGAGAGAGGGGGAGGGGGTGGAGAGAGAGAGAATGGCTGCATCCACTCTTCTCTTCACTCCGCACGGGACACACGGAGTGACAGACAACGTTACTCACTCACAGCCGTCTGTTCCTCTCGAGTGCAGCTCGCTCGCAAGTTGTAGGGGTAGGGGTTGGGGGGGTGTAGAGCTGAGTTAAAGTTGTAGGAGGTGGGGCGACTGGCGGTGTTGTGATGGTTGTATAAAGTTGGTGCCGGGCGCTGCGTGTCCGCTACGCGGCGTAGCTGCGCAGGGCAGCGTCGTGCAGGAATTCCGGTGGTTGTGGAATTTGGTCGTGGCGGTTGTTGTGCTTCACTGTAAGTCTGTGTGTAGTGGTTGGTGGTGGTGGTTGTGCTGGACTGCAAGTCTGTGTGTAGTGGTTGGTGGTGGTGGTGCTGCTGCTGGACTGCAAGTCTGTGTGTTGTGGTTGGTGGTGGTTGTGCTGGACTGTAAGTCTGTGTGTAGTGGTTGGAGTTTGTGGTGGTGGTGCTGGACTGCAAGTCTATGAGTAGTGGTTGGTGTTGGTGGTGTGTGCAGTGGTCGGTGGAGTGGGTGAATAGTGGTGGTGGTGGTGGTGGTGCTGCTGGACTGTAAGTCTGTGAGTAGTGGTTGAAGTTGGTGGTGGTGGTGCTGGACTGCACGTCTAACTGTGTGTAGTGGTCGGTGGAGTTGATGGAGTGGCTGAGTGGCGGTGGTGGTTGTGGAGGGGGCGACGCGCTGTAGGAAGTGGCCGGATAGGAAGCGAGCGAGTCACGGTATTGGCGTGGTCTGAGCGGGATTCGGCACACAGCGGATAGTCGCCAAAATAACCTGGGTAAGGTCACTAGAGGTCGCTGTATGGACCTACAGCCGTCAATAATTGTCACTGGAAGACAGCTTAGCTTCGGGGCCGTCCATAAATGACGTCACGCGATTTTGGACCATTTTTGACCCCCCCCCCCCCCCCCCATGTCACAGGGCGTCACAAAAAGTCAGACCCCCCCTCAAATATGACGTCACAAAGCTCTGCCCGCCCCCCCGCCAAAACCATATTTCCATTTTGAAAATTAAACATGCTTGAAATCGCTTTAAACTATTGTCATTGTAGTGCGTATTTAATGTGGCGCTGCTGCGCTCTGATGTTGTAGGAGAAAACATTTATCAAAACGTCTATTTAATTAAGCAGAACGTGTTGTCCTATTTATTTAAAGTTGCGCATTTTGATGTGACGTCACATTTCTCAAACACCCCCCTCGTCACACATCGTCACAAATGTCTGACCCCCACTCCCCCTAGGTGCGTGACGTCATTTATGGACGGCCCCTTACCTGTCAAGCCGCCATACTATTTACCCGTATTCTTGTGCAGGGAAATTTCGTTTTCAGGTGCATACGACGTGCAGCCGTTTCAATGCGGGCAGAATATAATTTGTCTATTTGTGTTTCTCCCTTGTTCAATGGGATTTTGTAGGATGAACGTTGAGATGTAAAAGGGCACGGGGTGACCAATATAGTCTGAATTGGTCTGTCATAAGGTAGGACACTGGTCAGGGGTTGACAGGTATGGCTTAGTATCAAGTGTGACACAGTGCACTTTGAGACAGAATGCTAAGCACAGGCGTCTAATACAACTAGAAATCTACTCGGCGCTTAACGTCAGACTAAACAATGCAATGAAGTGTTACAAACTGTTTGGTGAATTTGTGGTGTCAGTGCGCGAATCGCCGAACACACGTCGCTCCTTTGAAGAAGGGTCATCGCCCGAAACGTCGCCAGGGTACTACTGACGAACGCGTTGACGTGCTGCTCTTGTTATCTGCACGGTACTCGGCGCACCGCTGTCAACGTAAGAGCAGCAGCGTCGACCAAGTAACGTGGTCTGCACGCGAGGCTGGGAGGGCAACGCAAAATGGGAAGTGGATTTGGGGACGTTGTCAGCTTCGTCACTAGCTGCAGGCTCCACGCTTCACTCGGCCAGTGGCTATTCTAAACATATATAAACGTCAGCACTCGGGCGACAAAACTGGCTGGGCGTGTTAGTGCTGACCACCGCTCGTGTCTCGTACCGGTCTTCATAGGTGCTCGGTAACAGCACTTACCCCATAAGTCTCTGTCGGCTACGCGGGGGATCTTTGTCTTGTTGGTGGTGGTTGTTTCGATGCAGAAAGTGCTGGGGAAATTGTGGACACGTCACGAATCATGATGCCTGCCTGCTGCCACACCCGATTGTACTTTCCAAATTCCGTCTCAGCTACAGCACTATGTGGGGTGGGTGGACAGGTCATCAAATGGTGAGTGCACTGCACCATGAGCATGGCGACCAACATTGAATTCCTGGCCACGCGAACATCAGTGGCGAGTGATATCTAAACCGGTCCTGGCAAACCGCCCACACTGACCAGCGTGGTGAAGTATGGCCAGATTTCCTCCACGAAACGCACGGTGTGGCGGAGACTTTCATCCAGCAGTGGATTGACAAAGTTTTTCAGTTTTTCAGTTTCATTTATTTGGTATAGCCTTGTGAGCCATTCGGCTCTTGAATCGGGTGCAACCGTGCATCTACTGTACATGGGTGCTAAAAGCCATGCATTGGATGTACACGTACAAAGAAGTTATAAAAGCCATCAAAAGCCAACATTCTCAATTTCTCCTTGACTAAATGAGCACTGAGTATGCGTACCATACAGCAGTGGATTGACAAATGGCTACTGTATATGTACAACGTCGGCGATTCAGCCGTAGAGATGCCCTCGTCACCTCTTGCATTGCAGGACCCCGCCCTTTCCGCCCATCGCTCCTGCTATCCCCCCCAACCCATCCCCAATAGACAGCGTGGAATGCGCCCAAATGCCAAAGGAACACACACCACGCACACATTACTCCCCGGGCTCAATCCCATACTTGGATATCGCGGAAACACAGAGGGTGTTTAACAGGATGCTAACAAATGTCGGAGCCAAACTGATGATTTAAAGGCGCTATAACGGTTTATAAGGAAATATATATGAGCGGTTTTATACTCTCGTCTTTGCAGTCTACGTATTTCGTTGTTGAACACTTAAATTTAATTTTTACAATATCTTTAACGGCCCATTGTCAACTCACTGCTGGAAGAATATCTCCCTATGCCATGTGGGTTGTGGGGTGTTGCTGGACCATACTTCACCACGCTGGTGACTAAGTTTGGATTCGTGAGGTGGGGTGGAGCCCAAGAACGCTTCTGATATCACCCGCTTCAGAAGTTGGCCGTGCACGGCAATTTAACTCAACTTGCCGGGTACATAGTGCAGTCCGAAAAAAACACTGAACCACCACTCCACTCTCAATTGAACAGCAGTGATAGAAATGCCTTTTCTAAGAAAGCCTCAATGAGTCTCAAGACTTTTTTTCAGGAGGGCCCTGCAACATTGGGACGTTTGGCCATTCCCATTATTGAGAGTTTTACATTATGTTGGGGAGTAAGCAGACTACCCGGAGAAATCCCACCACGCTTACGAAGGGATGGCACTGAAACGTTCCTCAGATTTATTCAAAAGTTTTAATTGCTCTACTGTATAACTACTGGCATTGCCAACTGTACTTTACCATCTCTGGGTCACCATGCAGAAATGGAATAGATTTTACTTTAAAGTCATCACCAGCCATAATCAATTCACTGCTGGATGAAGGTCTCCCCAATTCATTTCTCACGATTGTACGATTCAAAATCCATCTTAACGCCCAAACGTGAGCTTATTCGTCGCTCCATCTCTGTCGTGCACGTGCTCGCATTATTATAGGTAGAAGAAAGCATGACAGATTGTACGGGGTGGGGCAGTCGTGCAAGTGGTTCTCACTCTGCCTTATGAAACTGGGCAGCTAAGTTTGATTGCCGACCAGGGCTGACATTTGTGCGGTAGCATTGAGATTCCACCTAAATTCAAAGGGTATGGTGTACGTATTGTGTTGTAATTTAATATGCGTACGCTTTCTTCCCCCAGCGATGTAAATGCCACGTGTATAATGTATCGTCGTAAAGTCATCTCTCCTGTGAAGAAGGGGCATTGCCGAAATGTCGCCTCTTGCATTTAAAAAAAATATAAAGCACACCAACAGATGGCTTAGGCTCACAGGGAATACTTGATAATGTTAGCAATTGCGTCAAAACTAACATAACTGGATGGTAACGATTTCTTAGAATCCAAACGATGTAAACAGTACACTTTTCGTTTTTATTTAAATGTTTTTTGTTAAACTTCTCTCACACCCACATGGTAATTTTTGCATTTAAAAAAATAAAGGAAGTTGGATTATGAGAATCATGGTGGTGTTCTCATAATCCAAAAACGTACCGAAAGGAGTTCACTTCTGCGATTTTTGATTTCTGAAAATTGCTCTTTCAGCCACAGCCCCCTCCACCCTCCTGCCCCTCCACCCTCCTGCCCCTCCACTCTCTTACACCCTGCACCCCCTGCCCCTCCACCCTCCTGCCCCCTCCACTCTCCTACCCCCTCCACCCTCCTGCCCCTCCACCCTCCTGTCCCCTCCACCCTCCTGCCCCCTCCACCCTCCTGCCCCTCCACCCTCCTGCCCCCTCCACTCTCTTACACCCTCCACCCTGCTGCCCCTCCACCCTCATGCCCCCTCCACCCTCCTGCCCCCTTCACCCTCCTGCCCCCTCCACTCTCCTGCCCCTCCACCCTCCTGCCCCCTCCACTCTCCTACCCCCTCCACTCTCTTACCCCCTGCACCCCCTGCCCCCTCCACCCTCCTGCCCCCTCCACCCTCCTGCGCCCTCCACCCCCTGCCACCTCATCAAAGGCCACTCCCTAAAATAGTTTCATGGCTGCTGTAGCGGTTTTGGGTGTTATTATTGTGAGTTTTTAAACAGCACACGCTTGTCATGCCCCAGTTAGTGTGAGTCATGGCCAGAGCCTGGCACATTCCCATAATCAGCAGCAGCCATAGTCAATCCACTGCTGAATGAAAGCCACCTCCATAACTCATGATCCCACATTTCAAAAATCCACCGAGCACCTTTAAACAAGTCGACTTCATTGCTCCAAATCCTTTTGGATGTGTTCCCTCCCTCGACTGCCACTCTGTCATTAGTTTCAACTATCGGCCATTATCCCTTTTACGATATGTCCTGCCCAAGCCACTTTTCTTAACACTTTAAATTATGTCATTAGCCTGCTTGTGTTTTAGAATCCATATTTTTTACTGTATGCTGGACTTCTTTCGCACCGTACATAACCAACCGTGCTAATCGGAGGTGCTGGGGAAGGGCAACAAACTATACACAAAAAGCAGTTCCAAAGAAATTAGTTTTCAATTTATGCATGCATCTCCCCGTGATCCTATGGGCATTTTCTGCATAATTTTGGGCAGTAATAGCTCCCTGGTGTGTGTGCGCGTTGTATCACGGATTGTTCGCCATGATGTTTGATATTTCGTTCCAAGTACTGCGATGTGGGAAAACACCATTAGAGAGATATACAACAAAATCGTGAATACCGAGGGGTTGTTATGCAGTCGGCCACACACATAAACTACAGCACGTGTGGTGTACTGTTTGTGATGTACACTTCATACTGGTTGGAACCTCCTGGTTACACCAGCCCACAGGGGATTATTGTGTCCATCCGTCCGTCGTGCAGGG